GCAACGGCGTCGGAAAATTGTAGCTCCAAAACCGGATCTCGACGCCAGAGCGAAAAAAAGACGATTTTGAAGCACTTTTTAAAAGGATTTTTAGAAGGAAAATCACTAGCGCCAAAAAGGCATTTCGTGCGAGACTTCCTTCAAAACTCCTTGACGCAGCCATTCCAATGCGATCTGCGGAGACTGAGTTGCAAAACACAAGAGAACTACGCGCAATGGCGTCGGAAATTGTAGCTCCAAAACCGGATCTCGACGCCAGAGCGAAAAAAAGACGATTTTGAAGCACTTTTTAGAAGGAAAATCACTAGCGCCAAAATGGAGAAAATCTGCTGACAAATCACTGTCGCAGCCTTCATGCAGCCACTCCAATACGATTTACAAAGTCCAGCTGCAAAAGACAATAGTATTACGCATGCAGCCACAGCATGAAGCAACCTTGACGCAGCCATTACAATGCGATTTGCGGAGACTGAGTTGCAAAACACAATAGAACTACGCGCAGCGGCGTCGGAAATTGTATCTCCAAAACCGGATCTCGACGCCAGAGCGAAAAAAATACGATTTTGAAGCACTTTTTAAAAGGATTTTTAGAAGGAAAATCACTAGCGCCAAAAACGCATTTCGTGCGAGACTTCCTTCAAAACTCCATCGGCAACTCATCCACCAGCACCACTTGCAACCCCATTTACAATGCGGGAACGATCCTACAGTTGCAAATCACAATGGAATTCTGTCGACCACACATGCACGAAACACAGGTGAAACCCCATTTACAATGCGGAACCGATCCGAACATGATCCGAACATGATCCGAGCATGATCCGACCACACACGAGACCGTCTCGCACCCGTCGCACAGCAGAGGTAGATCATCGAGGTTCGGGGACGCACTTTGTATGGAAAAACATAGGGTTTCGTGCATCTGCTATCTCTCAAAAACGCATTTCGTGCGAGACTTCCTCCAAAACTCCATCGGCAACTCCTCCCCCAGCACCACTTGCAATCCCATTTACATTGCGGGAACGATCCTACAGTTGCAAATCACAATGGAATTCTGTCGACCGCACATGCACGAAAAACACTTGAAACCCCATTTACAATGCGGAACCGATCCGAGAATGATCCGACCACACACGAGACCGTCTCGCACCCGTCGCACCGCAGAGGTAGATCATCGACGTTCGGGGACGGACTTTGTATGGAAAAACACAGGGTTTCGTGCATCTGCTATCTCTCAAAAACGCATTTCGTGTCAGACTTCCTTCAAAACTCCATCGGCAACTCATCCACCAGCACCACTTGCAATCCCATTTACATTGCGGGAACAATTTCTTTGACTAACTCGTTCCCTAACGAACTCTTTCTTTGCTAACTCTTTCTTTGCTCTTTCTCCTCTATTTATAATATATGAAGGTTTCGATGATGGGAGGTTTTTCAAGGATGAACTCAGACGTTCAGCTGTATCAGTGACGTGGTAAGTTCACCACAATTCGTATAGAAAAGAATGTTGTCATGTTGCTGGCTTTAAACCTCATTTTTCATGAAAACTGTAGAATTTCTGATCAAACAACATGAATTTCAAACAACACGAATTTCATATCAATATAAACCACAATTTCATGAGAATGATGTAGGTTACAAAAGCTCGAACTTTGGCCTGTTGGTTCCATCATGTTCCATCCCTTCCATGGCCTTGCCATTTTTGTCAGCGACACTTCTGTGGCAGGATCCGATGCAAGGGCAAAGTCCCACTCGAAAGATGCCCGGTCCTCGCAGGAATCGCAGGAAGCCCCAGGAAGTTGCTGAAAGTGGCAGGGGGTGTCCCGAGTTCTCTGATTTCCGCCTCCTGAACATAGGGAAACTATAATCAGACTAGGAAACCACAAGAGCGACTCAAACAAGTGCCTTGATGATTTTTGCAATGGTGTGGTTGTTTTTTCCCCTCACAAAGACAGTGTGCTGATTTATCACTGAATTGTGCAGCAAACCTGTGGTTTTTGGAGGTTTTTACTCACAACAAAACGGGTGTTTTTGCTGTTGTTCTCCATGAAAGCAATACTCGGAATTCAGGAATTCGGGGTGGCCAAGACAGATCGCAATCTCTAGGACTCTAGGACCTGTGAATGGCAATAATCCACTCGCATCTCAAATGGTCGCTGTTCTTTGTTCAATGATTTACTGGAGTCTTACAAGAGTCTAATTTCCAATATCAAGTAAGAAAAATGTTGGTTCCTGATTATAGTGTGTGGCCCCCCCGCCCCTCCCCCCCCCTCCCCCCCTCCCCCCCCCCCCTCCCTCCCTAAACTATATCTAGACTCTCTTTAAAGTAGAAAGTCAATTTTTTTCTTCCCAAAAGAAAAACATATCCTCAATTAAGTAAGGATGTCAATTGGCTACAATTGAAATATAATTACTATTGGTTTTTTGCCGATGAAGTTGTGGTATTTGTAGTACTTGTAGTACTTGCAGTACTTGTAGTACTTGTAGTACTTGCAGTACTTGTAGTACTTGTAGTACTTGTAGTACTTGTAGTACTTGTAGTGCTTGTAGTACTTGTAGTACTTGTAGTACATGCTGTACTTGTAGTACTTGTAGTACTTGTAGTACTTGTAGTACTTGTAGTACTTGTAGTACTTGTACTACTTGTAGTACTTGTAGTACCTGTAGTACTTGTAGTAATTGTAGTACTTGTAGTACTTGTTGAGTTTGAATTTGGCAATTGCCTTTGGAAAAGGCTTGCTTCTCTTCTGGGCTTCCAGGGGCTGCTCTGGCACAGCTTGCTGCAATAGTGAACCCAGCAAACAAACCTACTAAAGTGAAATGGAGCCTCTCCTGGTCCAGGGCCTTGGAAAATTGTGGAAAAGCTGTTCTTTGATAAGGGTTTAATAAGGGATTGGCTCCTTTGGGAATGGCTTGGGCTTTGAATTTGGCAATTGCCTTTGGAAAAGGCTTGCTTCTCTTCTGGGCTTCCAGGGGCTGCTCTGGCACAGCTTGCTGCAATAGTGAACCCAGCAAACAAACTTACTAAAGTGAAATGGAGCCTCACCTGGTCCAGGGCCTTGGAAAATTGTGGAAAAGTTGTTCTTTAATAAGGGTTTAATAAGGGATTGGCTCCTTTGGGAAAGGCTTGGAGTTTGAATTTGGCAATTGCCTTTGGAAAAGGCTTGCTTCTCTTCTGGGCTTCCAGGGGCTGCTCTGTCACAGCTTGCTGCAATAGTGAACCCAGCAAACAAACCTACTAAAGTGAAATGGAGCCTCTCCTGGTCCAGGGCCTTGGAAAATTGTGGAAAAGCTGTTCTTTAATAAGGGTTTTATAAGGGATTGGCTCATTTGGGAAAGGCTTGGAGTTTGAATTTGGCAATTGCCTTTGGAAAAGGCTTGCTTCTCTTCTGGGCTTCCAGGAGCTGCTCTGGCACAGCTTGCTGCAATAGTGAACCCAGCAAACAAACCTACTAAAGTGAAATGGAGCCTCTCCTGGTCCATGGCCTTGGAAAATTGTGGAAAAGCTGTTCTTTAATAAGGGTTTAATAAGGGATTGGCTCCTTTGGGAAAGGCTTGGAGTTTGAATTTGGCAATTGCCTTTGGAAAAGGCTTGCTTCTCTTCTGGGCTCCCAGGAGCTGCTCTGGCACAGCTTGCTGCAATTGTGAACCCAGCAAACAAACCTACTAAAGTGAAATGAAGCCTCTCCTGGTCCAGGGCCTTGGAAAATTGTGGAAAAGCTGTTCTTTAATAAGGGTTTAATAAGGGATTAGCTCCTTTGGGAAAGGCTTGGAGTTTGAATTTGGCAATTGCCTTTGGAAAAGGCTTGCTTCTCTTCTGGGCTTCCAGGAGCTGCTCTGGCACAGCTTGCTGCAATAGTGAACCCAGCAAACAAACCTACTAAAGTGGCTTGGGGTTTGAATGTGGCAATTGCCTTTGGAAAAGGCTTGCTTCTCTTCTGGGCTTCCAGGAGCTGCTCTGGCACAGCTTGCTGCAATAGTGGGCCCAGCAAACAAACCTACTAAAGTGAAATGGAGCCTCTCCTGGTCCAGGGCCTTGGAAAATTGTGGAAAAGCTGTTCTTTAATAAGGGTTTAATAAGGGATTGGCTCCTTTGGGAAAGGCTTGGAGTTTGAATCTGGCAATTGCCTTTGGAAAAGGCTTGCTTCTCTTCTGGGCTTCCAGGAGCTGCTCTGGCACAGTTTGTTGCAATAGTGAACCCAGCAAACAAACCTACTAAAGTGAAATGGAGCCTCTCCTGGTCCAGGGCCTTGGAAAATTGTGGAAAAGCTGTTCTTTAATAAGGGTTTAATAAGGGATTGGGGCTTTTGGGAAAGGCTTGGAGTTTGAATTTGGCAATTTTGGAAAAGGTTTGCTTCCCTTCTGGGCTTCCAGGGGCTGCTCTGGCACAGCTTGCTGCAATAGTGAACCCAGCAAACAAACCTACTCAGATAGAGATGCATTTACAGGCTCAGATAGAGAGATGAGCAAAAACTTGACTGAGCTACAGTGTTTTTGAGAAAAACATTGCATCTCAGCAATTACAGTTTTTTTCAAAAAAAGGGCTCTCCCAATTTTGTTTTGCCACAAAAGCGAACCCTCCAAACAATACATGAGTTTCAGAATAATTTGGAAAAAAATTGCCACAATAGCGACCCTGGCTACTAATCAGGAGCTAACATTACATATTAAGTTCAATGGATTGGTTTAAGGGAAAATCTACAGGAAACCGTAGATTTTCCCATTAAATATGGGGCTTTCCGGTTAAAATTTTCCCTTAAACCAATCCATGGATAAGTTGTTGGTTTGTGTCGTTTAACAGGTTGAAGTCATTGAGTCGCCTTGGCTTTGAGTCTTGTCAGGTCCCCGACAGGAGGTCTATGTTCAAGACCTTCGGGACAGTGGCAGATTCAGGTGGGGACAGCAGCCATCGGATCTTCAGCAAAAATATGAAGTTGACGATCAGTGGAAAGGAACTTCTGACATCTATATTTCTATATACATATCAATTGAAGTCTATCATATAATATTTAATATTATAATTATGTATAGTTATACATATATACATACATACATATATATATAATAATATTATTGTTATTATTGTTATTATTATTATATTATTATATATACATATAGATACATGTCCATTTGTAGAGTTGTTTTTGTATATGAATCAATCCCCATCATGTATTGCTTTAGCTTCCCTTGTAGTTTGGCTCAAGAGTTCGTTTTCCATCGGTTTCCTCTTTCCGAAGATGCCTTGCCCAGCACACCACTCGTTTGGACAGGGATTCTTGAGGCTGGTCACTGTGGTGCCGTGGTGGAGACAGGATTGTAACCTGGGGTGAGATGCTGGTGGTGACAGCTCAAAAGATCTCAAGAGTCCAGGGCTTGCTGAGGAACGTGCAACAGCTTCAGGCAAGAGAATGTGCTTTTGCTGCAATTCTGGCAGATGGATCTGTTCTTGCCTGAGGCTCTCAAGCTTCTGGTGGTGACAGCTCAAATGTCCAAACTCAGCTTAGAAGCGTGCAGAAGATTCAAGCGACAAGTAGCGCATTTGCTGCAATTGTGACAGATGGATCGGTTGTTGCGTGGGGCAATCAACGATCTGGTGGTAACGCCTGGGCAGTCCGTCACCACCTCAGGAATGCGTAGCAGATTCAGGCCACAAGTAGTGCATTTGCGGCAATTCGTGCAGTACTGCAAGATGGATCAGTCATTGCATGGGGCGACAGGTACTGGGGCGGCAGAGGCTTCCGGGTCCGAGCTCAGTGTAAAAACCTCTATCCGTTCCAACAGATTCAGGCTGGATGCAGCGCATTTGCTGCCACCCTCTCAGACGGCTCAGATGAGACATGGGGCGATCAAGACTGGCTTGATCGCGCCAAGTCATCTGAGCCGTCTGAGACAAAGGAACAAAAAATAAACTCCAAACCTAGCCCACCAGCACCCTGAAGTTTGCTGGCTTCCTCCGCAAAATGGATGCTTTTGGACTTTGGAAGAGAATCTCCTCAAAATCAACATCAAAAGTCACCAGCATTCAATTAAGCATTCAATTAGTATCTTTGCCCAACCCAACATACCACGGGGAGCTGAGAGGCTGAGATTTCTCATCCCGAGCTGTCAGGCCAGTGTCGAATCGCAAAGCGCTGACTCAGCCGCCAGGAGAACGTCGGTCAGAAGATGTCGTCGCTGGCTGAGTGTGAAAAAAACCTGCAATGCTAAATGGGGATATACCAAAAACATCCAAAAACTGATCGATGATTTTGGTGATTTAGTTGCATCCCTATGAAGGTCATTATTTTTTGAAATTGTTTTGTCCGACACAAATTGTGATGGGATATGGGTTGAAACTAGCAACAAAAGAGTGAGGGATACACCGATATATCCAGCTGTATACGGCGCCGAGTAGGAATTTCAAACCTTGAGGCGAGGGGTATTAGATCCGGTCGGACCTGATCTGCGTTGAGTCTTGTATTCTCAACTTCGAGCCAAAGAACTGCATTTTTGTAGATAAATATACTCACATATCCATCATATCCCGATCCCACCATAGACAAAAAATTTGGTCAACGGCTCATCCTGGAATCCTCATGATGTCGGTTTTTTGTGCCATTTTTGTTGCATGGTTACCTCCCTATATGTTCCCAAGGGGAATTTTGATCCTCATTCTCTGTGATTTGCAGGAAAGCGTGATCGACCCGAAGTGCTTTCGGACGCCCAAATGGCAGCCACGTTGCACAGGCCCACCTGGGTGTGAAAGAGCAAGGGGAATACACCCAATTGGCAATCTTAATGGGAAGACTGATATTAAGCATTAAGCAATATAGATTTAGGGGTACCCTATTTTCAGACAAAACCATATGTATCGCTTTGATTTTTGGAGGTGTACAAAAGATTGCTCCCTTCAACAACAAACAAAACCCAATGGAATAACGCAGCGAACAGCGGACCTATTGTGAAAACCCATCATTCGAATGTCTTGACTTTGAGCAGCACTTGTTCAGCACCCCTTTTTCACAGGAAGCCCCAAAGTGGCAGGGCTCAACGCCAGGGGGATGATGGTCAACCAGCGATCGATCATGGAACATCCAAAAATGACATGGCGTCTACCGGTAAAGGTTTACATAACCATGCATGGAAGATCATGGACAATCACCATGCTATTCATGGGTAAATCCACTATAAAACTATAAATGGCAATTTTCAAAATAGCAAACTGTTAGTCATTACCAGAGGGTAATATATCCCCACTATATCTGTGACGTCACTGGATAGTACGGGAATGGGCATATCTTTCAGCTATTTTCAGCGTGAATGATCACAATTCAGCCAGATGATCTGGCTTGAAATCATTATTGCACAGGATACAGGATAGATACACTGGCACAAACTAAGATAGATATGGAAAATCAATGAACATCACAATGTTAAGAAGCACCTCATGCATAAATGGCTCATGTTCAGAAATATTTTCCCCATCGTTAGTTTAGCCTCGCGTAGATCAACGATCACCCGACGCTCCAGGGCCTTTGGAAAGGAAAGTCTGATCCTGTTGGATCCAGATGTGCCTTGATCCAACAGCTCCGTTGCACCGTTGGATCCGGATGCCGAGAGGCACTGATCTGCTTGGCTTCATTACTTCATATATCTTCATATTCCTGAACCACAATTTCCGAAGTTTGGAGAAAATTCCTGAAGCACAATTTCCACAATTTCCGAAGTTTATAAGGTTGTTATCACTTGATACTTGGTTGTGCTTGTAACCGCACGTAGTGAGAAAAAAACACCTAATACATGACTAGAGACAACGTTCCATGCATATCACTGGCTGGTACCAATATAGATATCATTGCAAAATACCATTTATAATCCGGTTATAGATACGGTTCAATTGTTTAAACATACCATTCAATCTATAAAATACATTACCATAAGAATATATACAGTGTATATATATACACATATATATATTATAACTATAATATATATATATTATAACTATAATATATATTATATATACATGTATTATTATTTTTTTAATAGTTATAAACTATATATAGAACCCACTGACTTGGTTCCACACCGGACGCTGCGTGCTACAGTCCTCCGAGGCTGCCTTTCTGGAAGCTTCAGATCCCTCCGACTCGGACGTCGCAAAGTTGTTGTCCAACGTCTGGCAATGTCAGGTGCAGCATAGTGCCATGGGGATTTAATGGGTAAAACCATGGGAAAAACTGGGGAAAAACAGGGGAAAAACTAGGAAAACCTGGCAAAATGATGGGAAAAACTAAGAAAATGATGATTTACCCTCTGGTTATGACTCACATAGCCATGGAAAGATCCACCATGCTATTAATAGGTAAACCCAGTTGTTCACCATCTATTTCTATGGGCCATTTTCCATGGCTATGTTAAATAACCAGAGGGTAATTATGTTTTGATGGTGGTTCAATGGTGATTCAGTTGTTATTCAATGGTAGTTCAATGGTTATCAACGATTATTAATGGTTATTTTAATGGCTACTAATGCTTATTCATTGTTATTCAATGGTTATTATATATTTGTTATTCAATGGTTATTCAATGGTGATTTATGGTGATTCATGGCCAAACAACTAGGGAATTTGACAAAAAGCCACCATTTCATGGGACTTTAACACAAAGAACTGATGGATTTTTTCATGTGAAAACCATCTTTTGGGGATCCAAACCTGCCAGGTGTTGGCATCGGTGTGCTGTGCCCTATGTCAGGCGGAGATTAGCCGAAGCGGCTGCCGAAGCTGGGATTTTTTTTCCAGGGATTTTCCAGCCCAACTTGGATTGTTTTGTGTCTTTCAGCAAGAAACAAGATGAAACCAAGGTATAAATATCTGGTTGGTGGTTTGGAACCTTTTCTTTTTCATTCAGTTGGGAATAATGCTCCCATTTGACTAATATTTTTTAGAGGGGTTGAAACCACCAACCAGATATCGTCTTAGTCTTGTTTTTAGACATTTGGAGTTCTGACACTTTGGACGGTTTCTTTGTTGATCATACCATGGTGTTGTTGGTGAGGGGTCAGCCCTTCTTTAAGGGCATTGATCCATCATTGATCCATCATTGATCCATCATTGATCATTGATCCATAAATTTCCAGTAGACTTCAGGCCCTTCTCGCTGGCTTAAGCATTGCCAGCCTTTTGCTGGTCACATTGCCGACGGAAGCCTGGATCTTGGGTCAGACATCGTCAGACTTCAAAGTCGAAGTTGTGCTAAAATGGATGGTGCGGGATGATAACTTACTGTTAGAGAATCATGAGGTTCCACAAAGGTATATCCACATCCACCTGCGCCACCTGGAAACGCAAATTGGTATATCCAAAATGCCCATTTCCGATGACCTGACATTCCAAGGAGGTGCTAGCTCCAGGTCAGAAGTGTCTGAGTCCCGAGGAACTGTTGGCTTTCAGTGCCCGGCTATGGCCTTTTTTTGGTGGAGCTTTGCTGATTCTGTCCGAGGCGGGAGGAATGGCTGGAATTTCCGAGATTCCTAGAAATTCAGTATATTAAGAACCACAAAAACTGAACTCGGCAGGTTGCCTATGGCCTATTATGGCCACTTGTCACAGTTTTTTTCAGTTGATCATCCAAGAATTGCGGCACTTTGGAAGAAATTCCGTGGATTTGATGGAAAAACAGCCGGCCTTTTTGTCCTGGGAGGTTTGCACCTTTGGCAGTGTCCTAAGTGTCGCACGACTGCTTTGGATTCTTCAGGCAGGGATGTCACCATTGGCTGCGCAGGAATGACCCACTACCCCCTGGTAAACTTTCACAAAACTATGGATAGATCCACCATTTTCAATGGGTAAATCATGGTAAATCCACTGTTTCGACTGGGCCATTTTCAAGTTCGCAAAGTGTTAGTTTACCAGAGGGTACACTGTTCTTTCGGAGATTTCAACTGCTTCGTGGTGCACTTCCCATGCAGCAGGCTCGCACGGGAGATGAACCTCCCTCAGGCAGGTCCCAGCCTGCAAAGCGGGGAAGACGATGTTCCTCTGAAAAATTGCTGATTCTCAGGGTCAGACTGTTAGTTTGGGATGGGATGGGAATGCAAAACACATGTCATTTGGAAAGTTTCCATAATATCTAAGTCTAAAATATTGCTTTTTGTCAAACTTGTCATTCTCTTGCAGGTGTGAGGAGGCTTGACTGGGGTGCAAGACGCGCACATTGGTCTGACCCAATGAATTTGCATCCAAAAATGGGGATTCAACATTCACAAATTAATATATACATATATAATCATATATATATACATACTATAAATATACCATATAATATACTTGGGTATATCAATATCTAACTCATTAAAATTGGTCCATCCTCTGGCAATCCAAGCCCATGTTGTGTGACTCTTCAGGGACTTGGCTTTGGATTGACCAGATTGACTCACCCGAAATTGTTTTTGTTGAGATATCTGGAAGGTTGCCGAAGGTTGCCCGGCTGTTGATTCCACAGTGGAGATGGGACATGCTTGAGTTGAATGATGTTGCCCTCGAGGTTTTTACCGCTAGGCGCCCTATGTGCCTAGTCTTTTCTGTTGGAACAACGGTCCATGCCCATTGGGATCACATAGATTTTAAACCATATTAAACCACATTATGGTTTGATGTTTAATGTGGTTTAATATCAGATATTGTGGTTTAATTGCAATAGTCAAGATATTAAACCACATTAAATATCATTAACCAAATATCATTAAACCATATTCGACTATTGCAAAACCTATGTTTTGCTGGCGAAAGTCCCATATTTTTCACGGCAGGCGGCTCCTTTTTGCCGTGCTCCATGCGACTCTCAACACCTCACTGCTGGCCTTGCTGGCCGTCGTCAGCTGTCAAGTGCAGGGGAACTCAGTGGTGGAAGAGCACGTTTATGGGATTCATGGTGAAATAGTGGGATTTTATACGACTTAAGTGGTGATTTAGTGGGATTTGATGGGGATTTGAGATTTATTTGTTATATAACCAACTACTAATGATACTCGTATTGAGCAACAACAATGGGAATACAACCAAGTACAGTTTTTTAAAAGGAACACAACTAACAACCAACCAGCAAGATGGGATATACTGCAATGGGATTTAATGGGATTTGAGGGAATTTGGTGGGCATATAAAGCTATGATACCAACAATGATCAAACATGGTTGGCAATGGGAAATTCCCTGAAGGTTTTAACGGGAAAATCATCCTGTCAGGGGATTTTGCTTGCCGGAGGGTGGTGTGTTTTTGGCCATACACTGAGTGATTTTTGGATGTTCATCGCTATGGAAAAATGGTACCTTGTATTTTTTGACCCCAGGTTATTCACTGTTCGGAGATGGCCATGATCATGGGGAAAACCAGAAAAGATACAGCAATGGCACAGCATTACAATGGCGGTCAGGTACCCGCTGAATTCTCCTGGAATAGATTCCAGTCTCAATAATATGTTGAACCAGTAGCAAGTGGGTTTGATCTCCTGACTTATGGGTCAACACCATCATCACATTTTAAGTATAAAGAGGGTCAGTTGGTTTAATCAGCAAAGATTGGGTTTGTACATCAAACTATTGACGGATCCACTGGTGGTTGACTGGTCAACGGTTAACCGTTAACTTTTTTTTCCGGGGAATATTTTGCCACCGTGTTAAAGATGAACTTCTCTATTGCACGATGTTTTGCAATCTGTTGCTGTGGAAGGTCCTGGATAACTTGGGATTTTTAATGGGGACATCGTCTGCAACTTGGGAATTTGAATGGGAATCGTCTGGATCTGTGTCATGGAATATGATGTGACAATAGTCAACAAGGTCATACATGGTCCATTCCCAGAAACGGCATGATGATCCCAGTTGACTCCTATCTTTGGGATAGGTTGAACACACAAAAAGAATTCAGACATCGGAGAACGCAGTTTTGAATAGCATTCAATATCATTTGGCTGCTTGAGCAACAGCCTTTGCGCTATCTCTTGGCTGCTTGGTATCTTGGTCATAGCACCAGGTCGAGGAAACCAATCCCTGTTTGTTTTTTTGATTTGATTGAATTACAATAACCAAACAATCAGTGTAACCATTTCTATGATGGATGCATGGGTTCAAAAAAAACACTAATAATCACCATTAATAATTAATGTTCAATAGAATAAACTGGAAACTATTAATAGATACTAATAATCACCAGTTCTCTATCACCACTAATAGTCACCATTATAATCACTATACACCTTGATTTTGGTGACTGGAAACGGGCGTCACATCACATGGCATCAGGACGTGGCCGGAGTCGCAGATCTTTTTGGTCGAAGGCCTTCTGGGTCTCGCAGCGTTGCTGCTGAGTTTACCCGAGGCAGTACCTTGCTGGAAACGGCCTGCTGGATTCCCCTGCTGAACATACCAAGATGTGTCTGAAAATTTGGCATACCACCATTGTTTAAAAGGGGAACAAGATGGATCAGTGGATTCTGGGGGCAGTTTCAGACAGAGATGTATCCAAGAGTTTTTGGAGGACATGTGGAATTTGGATATATACTTTGTAGATCTTTGTAGTATGTTATTAGTTTATTTACCCTGGGTACACAATTAGGAATGAACATCCAGCTGTACCAGCTAATTGAATGTGAACACCTGTATGTTGATTCAAAGTGATATACTCATGTGCAATCAACAATCTTTGGATCTTACCCGTTTGTAAGATCAGAAATAGGGGAAAATGATGGAAAATGGGGAACTGAAGCTTTTGATTCAATGGATTGGTTTATATAAGTTAAAATCTGCAGGAAACCACGGTTTTTACCAATAAATAAATATGTTGTTTTCCTGTAATTTTTCGCTTAAACCAATTCATTGATTGATGCTCCAGTAGTCATCGATGCGAGGTTCAGTTAATGTCTTCTTCACCACGGCGCGTCTTCGACAAGTAGCAGCAATGAAAACGACCTGCGTTTCACCATCGTCGCATTGACCAATGTGTCAAAAGGAGCAGAACCAATTCCATCCCATGGTGTAGGGTATTTACACATATTTGGGACCATACTATTTCAGAGGTGTTTAGCATTGGGATTGTTTGGGGTTGGGTAGTTCAACGTGAATCACAGTGGGATCAACATCAACCAGGTTAAAAAAAAAAACATGTTCACCGGGATACTCGGTGACTGGGCGCTCGACCAACTGCCACCTGGATGTGGATGCAGTGTTTGGGAGCGCAGCACATTGCAGGTAATTTACGGTAGTTTTGCTGAGTGCTGAGCAATAGGAGTACATGATTTTATTTAAATTTTCACATGTGTTGAAGAAGCAGCTTGCAGTGAGGTGTCCATACTCTGCGGCGGCTTGAGAACCGCTCACTGCTGGTCAGCTGCTTTTTTATGCCTTTTTTCAGCTGAAAGACTGAGTTTGAGGGTTTTTTTTCGAGGTTATATTGAAGGCTACTAATTACTTAATTTAATTAGAGAGCCAAATATTTTTTTTTAGTCAATATGAATCAATATGATGCATCAACATTTTCCGGGTGACATCTAGCTTTTAGATGCTAAAATAGCATGTTACTGCCCCGGACTTTCTGGCTCCAAAGACGGTTCGTTCAAACACGGGTAGGGTACGACGGCAGCGCCATGTCGAAGCTGAACATCGACAACTTGAAGAAGGGCATTGCAGGGAGCTCAGAGCCATTCCCACGGAACATCGGTCGTCATATGGTGGTTTCTTAAAATGGAGGATCCCCAAGTCACCAAGGGTTAACCTATACTAAAAACGGTTGAATTTTGATTGTTTGGGGCTACCTCCATTTTGGGAACCTCCATATAGTTTCCTGACCTGATGTGACAGAAAGAATTGAATGTGGTAAGCCCAATGCTACAAACCTACCATGACTGACTGGGGATGGTTTATAAAACCCATAAAAATGATGATAACTTGGGGATGGTCGATGGCATTGGGTTTAGCATATTGGATGGATTGGAAAATCTTATGAGTGCATTGGATTGAAAGGTCACGTTAAACGCTACACATTGGTGTAGATCTTGATACACATTGATCATAATTGAACATGGTTTTCCTTGTTCAGCAGACTATGATCAAATTTATCATGTTTACTAAGTTTACTAACTTGCTTTCCCAGCATCAGCTCAAGGTCCAGATTCTGGACGGAAGCAAAGAAAAGCAAAGAAAGTTCCTGGAGACTGTCCTTGCCCTTAGTGCTGGGGTTATTCAAGCTGTTGCCACACCTGTTCAGTTGCAGCAAAAAATGGCAGAAGGTGAAAGGACTGAAAGGACCATCCCACCAATGTATCAAATGGCACTGGATATCCTTGAATCTGTACATTGGTGTATATGTATATATAATATATATATATATCTTATATATATAATTATATATATATATATATGGTGTATATATATATATGGTATATATAATTTATATATATGGTATATATATATGGTATATATATATGCTATCATTTGGGGCAATGGAACGCATGACAATGGATGAAAAACATGACTCCTAAGATATGACCAGGGACCGCCACAGAGGTGGAGCTCCAGATTGGCTTGAAGGACTATGATACCCAGCGTGACAAGCGCTTCGCAGGCGCCGGAGGAGCTGATCTTTGGACTGGTTCAACTTCGGCTGTTGAAAAAGCGTCGAATTTGGGATGATTTCATTCAGGATTTGATGAAGACAGCGAGCTTCCATATGTCAGTTTGAACAGCAATTCATTCTGAACAGAACTGGTGCATCTATGTCAATCTTGGCGAGGCTCATGTATCATGATGTACATGCATTACCCTCTGGTAAACTAACATAACTATGGAAAATCACCATTTTTCATGGGAAAATCCACTATAAATGGTGATTTTCCATAGTTATGTTAGTTTACCAGAGGGTAACCAGCATGAACCAACCATTGCTCCAAGCCAGGCACGATCAAGCTGCCCAACGTGCCGCGGCCGCGCTTGAAGGTCTGCGTGCTGGGAGATGCTGTGCATTGTGAACAAGCCCAGAGGGTTTGGAGCCCCAGGTGCTGAGGGATATAGATCCACCTGGATGTGGGTCAAAATGGAAGACCTAGGGGACCACAGATGTGAAAGTCTAGTTTAGTATTATATAACCATCCATAATTTTGGGGTACCTAATTTTGACCCATACCCACCTGAGAATCTTGGGAAACATATGGTAAAATATGGAAAAATACTGGAAACATGAGGTTTCAACCCCGGAGAAATATATTTGGGTTGCATCATCCGAAAGGAGGTGATGCCCAAGCTAAATAAGGGTCTGATAATAAGTTTCAATGCTTCCTGATGGAGCTTCGGAGTTCGCTGGACAAATGCGGTCATGAAGATCTCTTCGTAGACCCCAAATGGAAGTCAATTGTTGATGTTTCCGTTTCATGGTTTGATTGCTCCAACGATGTGTTTCAGTTATTCCCAAATATGGGAGCTCCAGAAGCAACAAAATGGAACCGTGTTGCCCGAAGCAACTCTGAAAACAATGCAACCTTTAACAAGGCTTTATTACGGTAGCTGGGAAAAAAATACCTGCTGATTAGCGTGAGGTTCGTACTGCTTTCCCAGACTGTCACGCTCACACTCATTTCATTCATGCATCATAGGTGGGAAGCCCCTCAATAGCATAATATAGCATAATAAGGTTTTAAGGGTTTACTGTCTCCTTATTTCTCTGCGGCGGGGAGGTCAGGGGAGGGTGCTTGAAGTCTCATGAAATGTTCATTCATTCTGTTCCATGCAACTCTGGCAATATTCGAGTTGCTTCGCGACGAGAACCGTCCGCACCCAAAGAGGAGGAAAGAAGCGGGCCTACTTGGCCTAACCGAAAGCCGACTGGGTCAAACTTGGTCATCCTTGACCTTAAGTTGGGCCGAACAGGAGCCCTTGGGTCCAAATTGGGCGTAACTTGCGCCGAACTCGGGCCAGTTGGCTCCAATTTGAGCCCAACTGGGGCCCAACACGGCTCAGCTTGGGCATGTTTGGACGCAAGGTTGGGCCCAAGACAGGCCCAATGTGGGCAACATGGCCTTGCACGAACCCCGATCAAAGCCGAAAAACGTTGGAAATGGCAGTAAAAATGCAAGTTTTCAGCATGTCGCATTGAGTCCGCAAAATTGGCCCGGGTTAGATCCAGCTTGGGCCCGGGCTGCCCCGATTGCGCCGATCTGCAAAATGTGCAAATTACTAACGTCCTGTGCACTTTTTGGCGGTCTGCTCTGTCGAAAGTGGCCCCCTCCCCCAGCTGAAGCTGGACCAGTCTGACAGATCTGTCCGGTTGCTTCCACTCCTAAGCTATCACGCCTCGGCACCTTTGGCGCGGGCGGATTATATATTTTGCGGGTATGGTCAAAGAATCCCATTCGAATATGATTTTCCGTAGAAATGCTTTAAAAAAGAAGCCATGGGATTGGGGGTACAATGGCCCGTTTTTTTTGGCAAACTCGGCTGGTTGTGTCTCTGTTTCTGTTTTTTCTCCAATGTGGAGGTGCCAGAGATCTGCGGATTTGATTGCATATCAATATGCTGAACATATTATATATATATACAAACATACATACACACGTACGTACGTACGTACGTACGTACATACATACATAGATACATACATACAGACAGATAGACACATGCATAGACGATAGATAGATAGATGGATGGATGGATGGATAGATAGATAGATAGATAGGTAGATAGATAAATTCAGAGATAGATAGATTCATAGATAGGTAGATAATGAGAGATAGGTAGAGAGAGAGAGATAGATAGATAGATAGATAGATAGATAAATTCAGAGATAGATAGATTCATAGATAGGTAGATAATGAGAGATAGGTAGAGAGAGAGAGATAGATAGATAGATAGATAGATAAATTCAGAGATAGATAGATTCATAGATAGGTAGATAATGACAGATAGGTAGAGATATAGATAGATAGATAGATGGATAGATAGATAGATAGATAATTAGATAGATAGATAGATAGATAGCTTGTTTGATTCATAGATAGATAGATTCATAGATAGATAGATTCATAGATAGGTAGATTCATAGATAGGTAGATAATGAGAGACAGACAGACAGACAGATAGATAGACAGATAGATAGATAAATAGATAAATAGATAAATAGATTAGATTAGATAGATTAGATAGATTAGATCGATTAGATAGATTTCATAGATTAGCTAAATCAGATAGATTAGATAGATTAGATAGATTAGATAGATTAGATAGATTAGATAGATAGATTGATAGATCGATAGATCGACAGGCAGAATGACATATCGATAAATAGATGGATAGAGCGACAGATAGAAAGATAAAAAGATAAAAATATAGAAAGAAAAATAGGTACATGTATACATAAATACATGGAGACACAGATACATAGAGGAAACAAGCCAGTGGTACTGTTGGGGCACAACTCAATCTGCCGGTTGTGATGAGGCCAATGTCCCTTTCAAGAGCGTTGAGGATGGACGGCGGAGAGACATGCAGAGGGGCCATAAACAAAGGTGTTCATATGGGTTATTTTTTATTTGGTCACCTTAGATGATGTTGTCGATCTTTCCTTTTTTTTGAATTTAAGGGGGGATATCTAGAAACCAACAACACATTTAATTGTTTGAAGAGTATCCAAATTTGGGCATGAGGATTGTTTTTTGCATAGACATCCTATGATAAAACCCATTAAATTTTATTAAAACATGAGATGCCCATGAATTTGGATTTCAATGAAGAGGTGATTCAACTATCAAACACTGGGGTTTCTCCTGCAAAAGTGGTGATCATGTGTCATGGAAGGATAGTATGCAGTGGATATCCATTGGTTCAGAAGGGATGATACAAAGAACACAGGTGAAAAAAAACTATGAGGAAACCCAAATTGGTGAACATTTCCATGAATCACCGTAGCTTATGACTACGTATTTTAACATGATCAGTGGTTTCTGTAGATACAATCCCGCAGGACCTGAAAAAGCTCAACAAGAACAAAAAAATGGTGAAGAAGTGGCTCAGCCCAAAACTTGCTGTGAAGAGATTGAATCATTGAAAGAACCGAAATCGTGCGGGGGCGGCGTCAAACACGACATTAGAAATTTGGACCAGTGGGACCCATGGGACCCAGTGGACCAGCTGAAACTGGACGTGACCAACAATAAGTGGCTGTGTCAACCGGGCTGAGCCCATACTTCAGTGTATTCCTTGTCTTTTGTACGAAAAAGAAGCACAAAAATGGATGCAAAGGGTACCTCATTCAGCGGGCAGACATTGCATTTTTGTACTGGTTGTAGATGTGCTCGCAATTAGAAGGTTTTATGCTGTGAAATAATGTAGCAAACGCTGCGGCAGTGGTGATGAAGTTTGGCTCAATATATATCTTTGGAGGATGTAGTTTCGAGAAGATTGCTACATCCGATGTTTCAACGAACCATATCTTTCCCGAGCGGTCGCAGTGAAACCGTTTGGATTGCGAAGTAGTCCAAAGCAGGTGATTTGATGGTTCTGGCCCAGTGGACGCTTGGACAACAATTCTTGAAACATATTACCACCAAGGGCCATTATTTGCTGGTTGACCCCACAGAATGGCTACAAGCTGCATTATTTTTTGGTTCAGGCCACAAGTGCAGCATTTGCTGAAATTTTGCAAGATGGCCCAGTCGTTGCCTGGGGCGATCCAGACAGTGTTGGTTACAATGGCTGCTGCCATCGTGGTGCCGCCCACTACAATAGCATGGAATAGCAAACTTCGCGCATTTTGCGCAGGGCCTCTGAGACAAAGCTAAGACGACCTCTCTTGGATAGCTGGATGCGGCTGGATGGCTTTGATTCCGTATGGCTTTTCAATTTCAACCGATCCCCATGTCTGGGAAAATCTGGCAATATCCGTGTTTGATGGCTCGAATCATCGGGGGAAGTTTTCTCGCGACCTCACTGGCCCATCATCCGGGTAAAACATGGTGCCATAAAATCTCATCCCCCTTGAAGCTCTGGCTGGATTTTTTACGGGCCCCAGTTTGATGGAATGGTGGGGTATACGGGTACCCGTCACCTCGCGGGATCCCCAGATCCCTGAAGCTGCTTCGACCAAGGCTGGCAGACAGCTTCGACGCCTTCTTGGCTTCTCAGGCGCCGCCAGATGGGCAGGACAGGGCATGAAACATTGAGATACAACTAATACAAGCCAAAATATGGGATATAAATTTCAGATGTGCTTGTAATATCTTGTAATGGGATCTCTCCACTGGATGTAAATTTGGATGTGGATCATGGAGATGGGATAAAACCAAATAAAAGCTATGATACACCATACTTTTGGGGTACCGTAGGAACATCCATTTGCCAACTATTTTCTGTGAACAAAAGGATACCAGGGCTTTGATTCATAATGTTGGTATTTTGAGTGGGATGTAAAGCCAAACTATGGTTTTTCTGACGAGAGGTCTCCTGTATTAACTGAATCTCGCCGTGATGTTTGGATGGATATGCGGTGTATATACATGGTAATTGTGATATATATATATATATATTTATATATATATATAACCAAGCAAAAAACAATGAATATGAACCGACTGCTTGATTTTGTTTTTCAGTGCGAATACAAACTGTGAAAACATGGCAAGAAAACAGAAATCTCATGTGGACTGTTTGCTTGATTGATGTTTTTTTTTCGTTTTTTGGTGCAGATTTTGTGGCAGTAGCAGAACCCAAATGGAACTTTGAAGGCTGAAGCAGAGAAGGGAACCATGTGAAACAACATGTTATGGATATACATGATACATATGATATAAATAACAAGAATGAATAGTATATATGGCATACATGACCCCACCTCCAAAATTGACACCTGAACACCCTGAAAATCCATGATCCCACCCCCCAGAAAAATGAAACCTTGACACCGAGCAGCCCTCAAGATCCATGACCCCACCTCCAAAAAATTATACACACTACACCTATCAACCCTCAAGATCCATGACCCCACCTCCAAAAAATGAAATCTTGACACCCAGCAGCCCTCAAGATCCATGACCCCAGCTCCAAAAAATGAAACCCTGACACCCAGCAGCCCTCAAGATCCATGACCCCACCTCCAAAAAATGAGACCTTGACACCCAGCAGCCCTCAGGATCCATGACCCCATCCCCCAAAAAATTGACACACACACACACCACACCTAGCAACCCTCAAGATCCATGACCCCATCTCCAAAATTGAGACCTTAACACCCTGAAGACCCATACGAACCCCACCACCAACACACCAACACACCAACACACCAACACACCAACACACCAACACACCAACACACCAACACACCAACACACCAACACACCAACACACCAACCCACCAACCCACCAACCCACCAACCCACCAACCCACCAACCCACCAACCCACCAACCCACCAACCCACCAACTCCACCACCCCACCACCCACCAACCCACCAACCCACCACCCACCCCCACCAACCCGCCCAACCCACTAACCCACCACCCTCCAAACCAAACTCCACCCCACCCCCCTCCACCCCCCCCTCCAACCACCGCCACCACCGCCACCCACCGCCACCACCACCACCAACCACTACCGACCACCACCACCCACCACCATCACCACCACCAGGCTTAGAACCTCGATGAGCACGCCGTTTGAGTCGGTGTACACCCCCAAAATCCTGGCCGTTTGGATATGTTTGGAATTGGGGACATAGTTTGAACATGTTTGATCAGCCTTACCTGTAGGCATTAATTACCAACCAAGTCAAGGACCTCTGGTGTAGATTTAATGCACTTCTCTGCAAGGTGTTGATCCCACAGATTCCTCGTTTGTTGGGGCCTGGCTTGAACAAGGCGCCTTGCGCAGTGGTTGAGGCATCATATAGAATTGGACTGGCCATTTGGGGGGATGCAGGAGTAGAGCAAGTCAGCCATCATTTACGCTCCTGTAAACATATAAGGAACTATGGAAATCCATGTTTGTTTCCAAAATTTCCGGGTGATGATCTAAATTCATAGAGATATTCACAATATATTCACAATGGATTGTTCAATATGTTCCAAAGTTATGTCAGATATTCACAGTGGATTGTGGCAGGCTACACTTCGGCTACCCATCGGTGGCAGGCTGGAAAGTTCCCCACCTTGGTCCAACACTCCGACAACTTGGAGACCAAGGTCACTGAAGTCCGAAGTCAGGTGCCGCGACTGGTGGTGACCATGGTGGTAGGCCATGCTGGTGGCCATAGGGAGAGAAAAGATGGGGAAATTCGATAGAATACCCAGAACTTCAACATGGCCCATGTAGCCGTTTGGAATAGTTTTTTACCAGTGAGTTTGGACACTGAAAAAGTACATACATTTCATCCACTTGCTAATAGACCCATAACTAACAAGGTCGAACTTTATTCAAGCATATTTTGTTAATGAACTGCATGTTTACCCTAGATTCAAACCATTATAAACCATTACAAACCATTATAAACCACTACAAAATCATTAACCATTCAAAGCCATTATACACCATTCTAAACCTTTCTAAAGCTATGTTTTGATGGCACATATTTGAACAACACAGCATATATTATATGGTTTCAACGTGCTTCAACCTCCATCAGGTGAAGTTCCAGTTGAAGAAGGTCCTGTGCATGGGCGTGGCCGTTGGCAACGTGGGGATGACCCCCGATGAGCTGAGGCCAGATGTGTTTCTGGCTTGGTTGGATGTGGGTTTTTAAGTCCACAGGGCGCCTTAAAAATCCTGATTTTTTTGCATACATGGCAGTTTCTTCTTCACAAATTACCCTGTCAGTGATCCCTTTTTTATTTCAGAACTAGGATGTTGATAGCGTCCATAGAGAAGTGCTTGGCAGTGTCAAGCGTGTAGGAACTACCTGGCATCACTGACAGTGCTTCGAGCATGGCTGAACCAGCCACCGGTGATACTGCCAACTGTTGAGGCAGAATTGCCTGATGGCCATCAACTTCTTGGTGTCGCTCCTCAAGAAGAACTGGAACAACGTGCCGTGGGGAAATTACCCAAGGGACTCCATGATTGATGGGTGCAGGAAACCGCCAAAAATATGGGATGCCCGGGATGCCCAAAATTGGGGAAGCCTAAAATACTTGAAGGTTGTACCATTAGAACTACACATGTCATGAGAGATTGCTCACTCTGACTCGAATTTCATGTTCATGAAGCTGTACCCTCTGGTTATTTAACATAGCCATGGAAAATCACAATGTTGAAAAAAATGGTAAGCACAGGTAAACCATCTATAAATGGGCCATTTTCCATGGCTATGTTTTATTAATGGGATTTGACTTTGATATGGCCAGCTGTCAGTATCCAATCCTTGGTTCGAGCAAGCTCGAACCATAGTCACTCCCAGATTCGGGTCTCTATAGCAGCATTTTGATGCATGTGTACGCATTTTAGGTATGTTGTGGGTATATCCCATCCACCTAATTTAATTAAATAATATTAAACACCCCATAAATGGTCTCAAATAAGTGTGATTTCCCCACGAAACCATGGTTTCTAGGGGGTGTTTAGTATGGTTTCGGGGGAAGGGATTAGTTAATGGATGGTCCATTTTGACATGTGGAGCGACAGGTGAAGAGATTGCACATCAAGTCGACCATGGGAAAGCCCTTCACCATCTACGGATAAGTCCGCCCCAGTGAGTCATGTCGCATCCTGCCCAAAAAGTGCCTATGTCGCAGTGGTGGTGGGAAAAGTGAGGGTTGAAACCCCTATATTTGGCCACCAAAACCCGTGGCTTCCTGTATGTTTGTTTTTCATTGAGTTATGGAGTCATGACTGTTGCTTCCGCAGATCACTTGCAGTTCATGGCCAGAGATCATGGCGCCTGTGTTGGAAGATGGGTGGCTAGACCAGCAATCTGCTGCATCTTGGCTCGAGACTGAGATCCTTTGGATCCATGGTGCTGCTATACATGGTAACATGGATCCCATCAATATACCCCCTTTATGTTAGCATATAGGTGTGTCTGAAAATAGTGTACCCCTTTTTACCCAATGGTTAATGATCATTATCCCTATTAAATGGCTATTTGTTTGGGAATATACCCAACATTTTCAGACAAACCCATATAGGTTATAGTGGTGAAGTTCAGTTCCCACGGAAGTTGCCAACGTATAAACCCGGAGTCTCATCCCACCAGACTTCACCGTCGATGGTGCAATGTCCAATGGACCTCGAGTGTGGCTGGGCGGAACGCAGTTCGCACCGGTGACCGGGACGGTGGTTTTCTGGGTGATCCCCAAAAACTCCTGAAATATGGGGGTTGAAACCACCAGAGGTACTGTATTCTGGAACGAAGACACTCTGAAGATATCAAGTTCAAAGGTAGAAACTCTCTGAAGCTGGACAAGGTCGTGATAGTGGAGACCCCAAAAAACGGGGTAATCCATGGCTTGGCAACGATGGGAATCCTTCATGCCTTCGTGTTTTCAGCGGGTTGGTATATTTACTTTGGGGTTTAGGTGTATTACTTGCGGCGCCTTACTATTTGGTGCAGGGCCTCTGGGTGTCTTGACCCACATCAAATGTGATGACCTTTGAAGTAGTCAACAGACACCTTGGAGCCTGCCAGTCGCTTAGGATCAGTTTCTGGAACCTTTCTTTTCCGAGAAATGGTAGGACTTTTAGGAGTCTGTTATTTTATAGCAGCCAATATCCCAAGAAAGGAGGACAGCCTGTATCTCAAAGGTACCTTCCATCAGGTTGCTGATACTCCACCCATCCTACTCTTAGCGCACTGCAAGGCAGCCGAACTCAAAAGCCTTGGAAGAGATCCTTGGCTGCACAATGAAATAATACCCAAAGATTTGCTGGGTTAGAGTGGCTAGAGCCAATACACTTGGAACACGTGTTTTCCACTTTTGGTAGATTGATTTATGTTGACATCAGTGGTAAAAGAACATGATGAAATTATATGAAGCAACATGAAACAACCAAGACCTCCATGAAACAACCAGGAGTCAATCAAAACTGGTTTATCATTGTGTTTCCCATCTAGACATTGCTAGACATTGTTGGCTTGTTCATCAGGTAGTTGGTTAAGCCCCATAGTTGGCTTGTTATATGCCATTGGAAAGAACACACATCCGATGATATTTCCTCATATCTGATTATATCTCCATATACCCCATAAGTTGTTGGTAAAACCATGCTAGACTCGACCTCCATGAATATCACTCGATATCCAGTATTATGGGTAAATATTGTTGGCTCTACGTTATATCGTTTTTTTTTTCTAATATTGACATCTTGTGGATCCTACTATCCCATTAATATAGTTTTCCCTATATCCTATACCTATCCGTGTCTATCTATATCTCTATATCATGATTCTGATATAAATAAATATATATATATATCAATCTATATATCAATATATATATATATATCAATCTATATATCAATCTATATCATGTATATCATGTATATCATCCATCTCCAATAAATGGACTGATTTATCCATGGGACATCTGCCAGGTTCTTCCAATTCCTGCAGTTCCAACTGCGCCTGGAAGTTGAGACTTGCCTCGACAACGAGGACCTCGAAGTCTCTGAGGCTGGAGAGTTTTGGTCGAAAATGGCAGACCGAAAGTGGTGGTTTATAGTGATTACCCTCTGGTAAACTAACATAACCATGGAAAATCACCATTTTTCATCGGAAAATCCACTATAAATGGTCATTTTCAATAGCTATGTTAAATTACCAGAGGGTAATGGTTGAAGATTGACATGGTTTAATGGTGTTTAATGGTGATTAGTAGTGGTTGATAGTGATTAGGAGTAATTCATAGTTCGGTTCATATGGATATACCCGAAATGGTAAACTAAGAGCTTGCGAAGTGGATAATCACCATTTGTGAAAATGGTAAAGAATCAATTTCTATGGGGCCATGGCTTCCATAGATAGCTATGTTAGTTTACTTGATACATTGAAATGTCACTGTTCTATCACCAGATGGGAAAATACAGGCTTATTATGAAAACGGGCCCTGAAAAGGATATCACATGGTACTTTTCTTTTGATGTGGTCAGTACAGATTACCCTCTGGTAAACTACATAGCTCTAGAAATACAGAAAATCAACAGAAATCAACTATGTCTATGACCAGTTTCAATAGCAACGCGTTTTCCATTCCCGGATGGTCATGGTCTCATGATGTAACATGATGGAACCAACCCGTCAGGGTGGGCTTTGGCAGAGCTTTCGCACCTGGGTTCAACCCAACCTGGGGAAGAAGGAGAAATGGATGCCCTTCCACACTGCCGGGAGCCTGGATGGCACCGAAGGGCACCGAAGGTCCTGGAAGGTCCTGGAAGAAGTTGTTGTTGCTTTGAGATCTTGGAGAAGTCCTGGAAGTGCCAAGGAAAATGGTGCATTTTGACCATTTTGTAACGTTTGTAAGTGGTGATGTAACCGACAGAAACTGCCGACTTGAGCATAAACCCTTGGGGAATTTCACTAAAAAAACTTGGGATTGACGAAGACGGACCCGGGCTCTGGGTCACAAAAACGGAAGACCCGCTGGTATTGGCATATTTAGAGTAACATCCCGCCCAGGAGGTATCTATCTTTGACCTGTTGTGCCATTATTGCTTGAAACTTTCCCACCATTTCTGAGTTTTAACCATTTCTGCAACACATGTAACCGTCAAGATTGATGTAAATACAAGGCGATGCCCCCAAACAATAGACAAATTGACTATATCAATATCGTTTATGACTGTTTATGCGGGAGATAACGAACTAGTATTCATATGTATTATATATCATGGCCTTTATAAACCAACTTAACTTCAACTGGGGGGCCTCACATTGTACTGCTGTGCTCAGCGGACTTTAAGGTCCTTGGAGCCCATGAGCTGTTCATTGTGGAGCAGATCCATCATAACAAAGAGCTGCCCTGGGATGAGAAACGCAGCTGGGCTCACATGGCGTTGGTATTTAAAACCTGAGGAAATGACGAACAATCTGCAGATAATGATAGATAATTGATTGAGTACACAATTGATATCAATTAATTCAATACAGGTAGACTATAACTACATTAAAAAAAAAAACAACAAAAAACAAAACACTACATGAGGGCTTTTACCCATTAGTTGGGGACGGACGAGTGAGTACGTATTGCAATGAATCTTACTAGGGTCTATTGAAATCTATTTGATCTATTTGATCTTGTGGACGCTTCACATTTGTATCAGGAACATGTTGTAATGTTGTTCATCTGAAGTGATCAGTGGTCAGTTCAACCCTTGTTTGATTGATGGTTGAGTGGAGATTACACGAGTATTTGCAAGGCAGGAGCGCCATGGATGAGGAAACTCCAAACCCTCAACCAAAACCAATTGCGATTTGCCAGAAAATTGGGTGCTAAATCCACTGCTTCATGGGGTGAGTTTTTCTTGGCAATTGCTCATTGGACTGCTTCGCCAATCTAGGTCGATTCCTGGCCATGTTTGTGCACGGAGCCCCGTTTGTTTGCTGCAATGACAACTTCTGTGGAATATCTTTACGGACTTGGACTTGGAAACTGAATCAAGATGAAATCCATGTTCAAGAGGTTTCGACCCTATAGATGTTTAAATCTCTTCATCTCCAATGATTTAGGCTCCAATGAGTTTTCCTGGTGTCCAACGTTTGGTCGCCTGGGGCCCAATTTTTTAGTGGGAATTGCTGGAAATCGGTGGAAGGTTCCGCGCGCATTGCCGAAGCAATGTCTTCCGGGAAGCGCAGCTGCCTCTCATGCTGCAGGAGCGTTTCTGGAGGCACCGGTGGATGGTAAAAGGAGACAGTAATTAAATTAATACATTTGAACAGTTGTGTTAGCTTTTGTTAGCCAGGATTTAAGATTCTGGGATACCAACTGCAGATATTTCATGATATTTCCGGATTCCAAAGAACATCAGGTATAAGGCAACCTTGCAGCCAAGCTGACTTCGGCAGGGATCCACTGGGCCAGTTTGCCGACAACGGCCCTGTCACCCGGTCCATGCTCCAGTGCCCGAGAGAAATCACTGGTGGTTTGGGACGTGAAAAAATGGGTTTCCAGGTACTGCAGGTCTTTACCCTCCAGATCCCTCCAGTAATCCAACATGGTGTTTGAATGGGAAGATCCTCTTTAAATATCATGAAAATCGAACACTTCTCTAGCAATGTTTGATGACCGGAGGGTATGAAAACATGGAGATTGGAATGTTCTTCCATGTTTTTTTCCATATGTTTCCCCAAATGTTTTCTATATTTCTGTATATCATCTGGTTTTTCCATGTTTTTCCCAAATCCACCACTCCAGGTACCGGCGCAAGACGCGTCAGCCGTTGCAGACGTCCGCCTTCCTGGCGATCCCGGAGCGCTTGTGCCCGGACGACGACGAAAACTTGGCGCGGAACGTGGCCAGGCGGACGCGGACGCTCTTGGAGGCGCGGACGTGATGGGCCCGTGATGCGTGACATATCCATGAAATTACTTTACTTCGTGTGATCCCCACCATGACATTTATACATTTTCTTACTGGCAAATCTTCTGGCATTCTATCTGACATATCTTCTGACATTCTATTTGACATTCTATCTGGCATATCTTCTGGCATATGATCTGGCATATCTTCTGTCATATCTTCTGGCATTCTATCTGGCAAATCTTCTGGCATTCTATCTGGCATATCTTCTGGCACTCTATCTGACATATCTTCTGGCATTCTATCTGACATATCTTCTGGCATATATTCTGACATATCTTCTGGCATATCTTCTGGCATATCTTCTGGCATATCTTCTGACATATCTTCTGGCATATCTTCTGGCATATCTATCTGGCATATCTTCTGGCATATTTTCTGGCATTCTATCTGGCAAATTTTCTGGCATTCTATCTGGCATATCTTCTGGCATATTATCTGGCATTCTATCTGGCATATCTTCTGGCATATATTCTGACATATCTTCTGGCATTCTATCTGGCATTCTATTTGGCATTCTCTCTGGCATATCTTCTGGCATATCTTCTGACATTCTTTCTGACATTCTTTCTAACTTTCTTCTGCACATTCTTTGTCCCATATCTTCCTACATGAGGTCCGGCAGGGGGCAGGGACACTTGGCGTGGATGGTCGTGGTTGAGGTCCGGCAGGGAACACTGGGCGTGGATGGTCGTGGTTGAGGTCCGGCAGGGAACACTGGGCGAGGATGGTCGTGGTTGAGGTCCGGCAGGGAACATTGGGCGTGGATGGTCGTAGTTGAGGTCCGGCAGGGAACACTGGGCGTGGATGGTCGTGGTTGAGGTCCGGCAGAGAACACTGTGGATCGCGGGTCGCAGTTGAGCAAGGACGACGAGGACGACGAGGACGACGAGGACGACGAGGAGGACGAGGAGGAGGAGGAGAGGAGGAGGAGGAGGAGAAGGAGGAGAAGGAGGAGAAGGAGGAGGAGGAGGCAACTGACATAAAATCTAACAACCCTCACCTGGCAGGTGGGGAATAACCATGTAAATATCCACTGATTTTTTTTATGAAAACTCACTGTTAGTAGTGTTTAAAAAAATGTATGTTATGGTATGTTAATATCCATTAAACTACATATTATGCTATCATATGCTTAATACTGCTTCATAAAATGTGTATTTTTTTTTTAATGGTGATGGTTCATGAATATTTAATGGATATTTGATGGGGCGTTAGGATATGTTATGATTAAATTGTGATTTTATGGTGATTTAGTTGTGGTTGATTTAGTGGTGATTAGTAATGGTTCATATCCCTTAACAGTGCTTAATAATGGGATGAATATAGAGATACCCTTCCGTGTAGTCAAACGTGGCTTGCTGCCCTGTAAATATTGGAGATATGTGTATAGCTGGTATAATCATTGAACTAATATGTGGTATTTTCCAGCAAGCTACAACGAAGCTTGGGGGTTGCAGGCCAGGGGGTCTTATGGGTATAACATGGTATAACATGGTATAACTATGGGATTCTAACCTCCATAAGTTGGCAGATGGTCATATGGGGCCCCTACAATTATGGTGACATATCACGCACTTATAACTGGAACTGCACTTCCAAGAGGGGGTCAAACCATGAAGCATTAAGTTTTAATCATCAAACATGAGGATTTAATCTTAACCAACTGGTCAATGTGTTTTCCCAAATTGATCGAGAAATTCGATGAATATGTCGTCCTCTGCCAGTTTTGATCTTCTAAAAGTCAAGATGAGGCTATGGATCCAACGCCCGATATCCTGGATTTCACATCAAACTAGCCATGTGCTTCATCCGAAGTAAAATAGTACCTGCTAAATATTGGATTGGACAGAAAAAACATGTCATTGTATTCAGTGTATGTCCCAGTATATCCCAATACCCTTATTGGGTTGTCACGACCAAGTCCAGCCGGACCAAGTTGTTTTGTTTCTCAGGATGTGGCAGTTGTGGCGAAAAAACGCACAATCCCAACGTGTTCCATCCTGAACTTCCAGTGACTTCCCCAGATGTTAACTGGAGATATTCACCATCAATGGATTGGTTTCTTCGGGAAAGTTGTGTCACCGGAAAGCCTGATTTTTTTCATGGGAAAGCCTGGATGGGAAAACCGGTTTTCAGATAGCCTCATATTGAATGGGAAAATCGATGGTTTCCGGTTTTCAGATTCTCCCATTGCAAGACCAATCCATTGAAACCACTGGCGACAAAAACAGGTGGCTGAGAATGTATGGCCTCTCGTCCACAACGAGAAGCTCACCAGCCTGGAGAAGTTTCAGGTGGCCTGGCAGGATGGTGTTAGTTAACCCGTAAAAGAAACACATGCATGGGGATAGACTCTGGATGAGTAGAAAAAAATACTGGTTGGTGGTTTCAAATATGTTTTATGTTCCATTAAAAAAATGGGATGTCATCCTTCCCATTGACGAACTCATATTTTTCAAGATGGCTAAAACCACCAACCAGAAATATGATGCTTAACTATGGTGAAAAAAACACTTGGGGACATTGAAAATTTTGAATCGGGATCTTTAAGGGAAACTTTTATAATCAGTCAACCACAAATGGGATATGATCCAGAAATGAGGGAAATGATGAATTCAGGCCAAGTCAGAGACCGACACATCTTTTGGTGCCAATAGTTCCAATAGGTATCCCCCATTGGGCAACACACGCACACATTGCATGGTGGATACCTCTGGTGGGTCGGTGAGGCTTCGGCTTCCGGTTCTGCAAGTTACCATTGGACCCCAACGTACCAATGATGTTTGTATGTTTGGGATACTTTGCTGAATAGCTCGAATAGCTTTGTAAGCGATTGATGTAGACAGATAAGTAGATCGATAGCTCATTACTCTAGACAGACCTAATATTGGAACCATGGACAGACTATGCATAGACTACCTGAGACCATGCATAGACATTTTTACACTTCGAAGTGCAGATCCATGGACTAATAAGTTGATTATATGACCATAGGGATCACATCCCAACTTATACTGTAGAGGTCAAAATCCCATAGTTATACCCATTAATCACCACTCATAATCCATTAAAAATCCATATTAACCATGATTTCCCCATACAAAAACCATACACCGATAAAAAATAATCCATATACCCATAACGCAACAACTGCACCTTCCATTAATCACCATTAAAAATCCATTAAACCATCCATATGGAGGAGATCTCCAAGACGATCCAAGCTGGTCGACGCTTGGGAGACACCTGGTCCAAGATGCTGATGGTGTGGCCCTTGGTGCTTTTGGTGGAAATCATGGGGAAAATCATGGGAAAACTTGGGAAAACCTAGGAAAATCATGGGAAAACTTGGGAAAACCTAGGAAAATCATGGGAACAAACTAAGAAAATTTGAAGATTTACCCGGCCTGGTAAACATACCAAAAACGATGGAAAGATCCACCATGCATTTTTCATGGGTAGTCATCCACTATTTCGACTGGGCCATGCTATCAATAGAAAGCTGTTAAATTACCAGAGGGTAGATATCCTAGATCCATAGAGAAGAGCCATACACAACGGAGAAATATGGTGAAGGGTTGATGAAGAAAAGATCTCTGCAGCCGTTCAAAAATGATAGCTATATATATAATTATATACCTCCAGCCTATAATATCAATCTTTATAGATGCTAATTTGATAAATCAGATTACAGAATCATACGCATCTGGATCAATTTTTACAGCGACCTCACCATCACGACGTCGCCGGAAGACAGTAAGGTGAGCATTGACATCGCTTACCCCAAGTTGCAGCTCTTGGAGAGTACCTGCGACGTCACCAGCTGAGTTCTGCGGTTGTTTTTTGGTGCCCAAATATGGGATGAAACAACAGTACCCTCTGGTAAACTAACAGTTTATTATTGAAAATTGCCATTTATAGTGGACTTACCCATTAAAAATGGTGATTTTCCATAGCTATGTTAAATTACCAGAGGGTATAAATTTTGAATCAACAAATATGTGACTGGATACCAAATATCTGCGAAATTGATGAAATAGCAGTTTCGCAGATCAACATCTCTATGTTCATTGAACTTCATGTGCAATTGTTCGCTTGTTTGTCCAAACATGTGGTACACCGGTACACCCCAACTTTGCAACTTCAATGTGAACACTATGAATTAAACTAAAACACCAAGATTTATCCTGGTTGGTGGTTTGGAACATGATTTTTATGACTTTCCATATATTGGGAATTTCATCATCCCAACTGACGAAGTCATATTTTTCAGAGGGGTAGGTCGACCACCAACCAGTATCGTTTGTTGATGTTTTCTGGGAGGTAAAATCCCAAGGATTTTCATTGGCCAGCGATCCTTCGAGGTGGGCGTGGGAGCATTAAAAGCTCTTCAGCGTTTGTTCAACGATGGCCTGATCCTTAGCTCGGTGACCGGTGACCAGGTGACTCAAGGGGTTTGTTGAAGGTACGGCTGGGAGTGGTCGGGGGGTTCGTTATGGGGTTTTTGAACTCTGGAATTTAAAGCTCCATAAGTTGGAGATAATCCTTACAACTATGGTGAACTATAACTGACTATAACCCACAAAAACGAGTGGAACTGCGCGAGACAGCGGGGTCATCCTGGTACCATCTTCCACGACATGGCACCCTTCCTGGACTTGCAGATCTTGGGGAGAATCTACGACAGCTCTGGGAGTCAACTGCATGTAATTGGCTAGTGACTGCCCTAATCATGAATTGTAACTCAGTCAATGTGGTAAACCATGGCAAACCTAATAATAGAGCATCCAATTAAGTATTGTTAGGATATGAAGGAGTTTTTACTTTGGGTTTACCACAGTTACTGATCCCATGAGGTCAAAAGGAGGATCCTCGCGACTTGTTGGGCCATGCCACACGTGCGGCCAACAGCTCAAAAGCGGCAGCAGCGCAGAATTTCTGGCGCTTGCTGAAGAAGGTCAGAAGCCCTGGAATTTTTCTGTTTGATTTTGGGATGGGTCAAAAACCTATTCTTCATATTCTTCCCATAATTTCCCATATTTGGGGAAACAACCATCAATTAACCATCGATTTTAGGGTACTTGGGGTACGAGGGTTTTGACCCATATTCATTTTGCTGAGGATGAATAAAATAGCAGGCAAGTTGTTCAAAGATGTGTTTCTTGTGCGAATTTGCGTCAGTTGTCTAATTTTTTGTGGTGATTTTACATAGTTGAGGGATAAAAGAATGCAACAGCAATGCCGGGTTAAAAAAAACTCCAAATATTGGCAGTGGGTTAGTTTTCCAATGGTTCTATTTCAAACTTAATTATGTCTCCTTTTCCAATGGATCAAAATGGATCAAAACGGAGGAACATCACCAAAATTGTTATGGGTCCCTGGGCCGAATAGTTCATCCCCAGAATCCGTTCCCTGGTCAAAAAATCCTCATGTTGCCAGTGTTTGAATGACCCAATTTTGCACACTTCAATTCAATTTATACAGATACTCATTACTGGAGCATCTTTATATATATATATATATTATATACATATTTTATTAAAGTATATATACGATATAACAATATATATATATAATGTGTTTAGGATATACACATGTGGGGAACAATTCTTCTTAGGTATCACCATTGGCAATTGCTAATGATACCATTGGATGAGGTATATATATAATATACATATCATATATATAATATAGATATCATATGTGTTATTATAAACATAGTACATACATATATAATCATATATAAATATAAATATAAATTAAATAAATGTGACTGCTAAAATAATGCAATTTGTCTGATCTCCAGGTTGAAAGCCTTTGTCAGAAACGCTTCGCGCACCTGCCCTTGATCTTGGATCAGGCGGAGCGGCGGATCGCTTCACTTAGATCCACCGTTGTTGTTACCCCGTGGCATCTTATTGTCTCAACCAATGGTTTGTTGGGAAAACATATGATTGAAAAATAAGTGTATCTATTTAAAGAAAATGAAATATTGCATATTTACTCATAATTAGTTGTTTATAATATATATATATATATAATGACTTTTATGTTCCCCTGTTTCCCTTTAGAATTGCCATATGCTAAGCCAACTGCGGAGTTGATTCGAGCGGAGGTGTGTACCCCAGTGGCGCAACTCAGTGCAGTGACCTTGCAGGCGCAGGATGGGAAGCAGCGAGAGAATCACCTGCCATTCTGGGCCTGCAGTTTTGAGGATTCGAATTTATCCAATGGCACCTACCAAGAACGCCAGGATCTTTTAATATGTTCAAGTAACATAAGTAACAGGTAAGCACCTGTCCATCATACCACCTTTGCAATGGCTAGTGATTGACCCAATTTTTTGGAGAGTCGCAGTATAGTATAGAAAAAAAAACATCAAATTCCTGGCACCCCATCATTTGGGTCCGACTGGTACTAGCGGTGGATGAAGGAAGAAAGTGCTGGAAAAGCCAAAAAAAAACCCAAAACCGATCCAGGTCCAGCTGTGCGAGTGGCGTCAATTCTTGGATTTCCTGAGCAAGGCACCAACATGTACCAACAGACCTGAGGGAATTATGACCTGGTGCTGAATTTTTGTGGTGTGGAATTGTGGTGATACCCCATGCCACGTGGTGTGGTGTTTACCCAATGCCATGTGGACCCCCTCAAAATTTGGGATGATATTAATCCCATCCCATTGAGAATGTGACATTGGGAACTGTGTCTGATTTGTTCTACACATCAATCAGTGATCTATTCATTTCGCAGATTCCTAGGATAATTAGGCCCTCACCAGATAATCATTTGGTTGATCTAAAGTGTTGGAGCCTTCGCTTTGGGATTTGAGGACCATTTTGGGTATTTCAATCCCAGTTTTGACTGGTTGATGTTTGATTTCCTAGTCTTGTTGCTTAAATCAGCCATAGCCCGCAACTTTTCATTCACCCCTTGCTCCGAACGGTTGCTGATTTCAGGCTGGGAACACTCCAGGAGATGAGATGCAGGAGGAAGCAGTTGCTGCCAGCCGTGATGAATTTTTATCCAGATCGTCCATGAAAAAGGCACCAACAATGGAAGAAAAGAAGGCGGAGATATGCGGAGATCCGTGAAACTGGTGCAGTACATAGATCTAATTTCAACTGGGTATCTTTCAATCCGAGACCTCAATCCACCACACAAAAAGAGCACCAGTTGTGATAGTTAGTAAGGGGCAACTGCCTCCAAAATGTCGCATTTCTGGTTTGGGTTACCATGGTTTAGCCAGGTTGCAGTCCTGCGTCTACCCATTAAGCTTGATGGGCACATATGGGCATGTAGCTCCAAGCAGCACATATGAATACATCTGATAGATTGGTAGATTTTCCAGCAAAAACCACTTTCTGGATTAAAATAACATAAATCCAGATAAATCCAGAGATATAGTTTTTTTTACCAATACAAATCTGCAATACAATCCTGAAAAGCAGTGGTATAGTGGTTTCTCAGACTGAGACCCCATGCCTGGCCCAACAAAACCAATGATCTTGGGTGAATTTTAGTTCAAAATCATCCTTTTCTGCTCGTGGGTCCCCAGTTCGGATCTCCAATTCTGATTACCCAAATGGTTTTGTTTAGGGTGTTGGTGGTTTGGAACACGACTTTTATGACTTTCCATAGATTGGGAATAATCATCCCAAGTGACGAAGTCATATTTTTCAGAGGGGTAGGGCTCAACCACCAACCAGTGTGAATCATTACAAGACATCTACATCTGCGGAAACAGATCCAGACTTTGGTTTCACTGCCACGGAACGATACATCGCAGGACGAGACACCTTCGGAACCATCGAAGAAGGCGCGGGTGGCATCTGCAAATCGCTGGCTTTGTGAGACACCCAGCAGGTTTTTTTCTGTTTCTTCATTGGAATAAACAGAGCTTTAATGACTATGCCCATAGGATCCATGTATGCCATATATGGTAACATGGATCCCATCAATATACCCCCTTTATGTTAGCATATATACCAGCACCATGGATCCTATGGGATGGTTCAATGTTTCAGCTATTCATTTAAAGGTGGAACTGAGGTTAGATATTTGAAACGGTCCCGTTTATATGGACCAACAGTTGCCTCAGAAAACAGGGTGTCTTTAAACAAATAGAAGCACAGAGTTGGGACCACAGAATGGGCATGTGGAATATGAACCGGGTGATAGCATTATCCAGTAATGTATCTATCAATATTGTGTATCAATATCCCACTATAGTTGATACAAGCAATAGTTGATTACTATCACTATCTATACGTAATATAACTCTAGGTATAGCAGTAGTACCGCACAAGGCGGTGGCGGAAGTTTCAAAGATAGGAAACATATAGGAGAGGTGAGTTGTTGTGATTCATGGATGGCAGAGAAAATTGATGGACCGAAAGGTGGTTGAGGCTCTGAGTCTCTCGCTCTCTCTCTCTCTCTATCTCTCTCTGTCTCCTTCTCTTTGTGTCGTTTGTTCTATCTCTCTCTCTCTCTCTATCTATCGTTCTATCCATCTATCTGGCTATTTATCTATCTATCATTATCTATCTACCTATCTATCTATCTAGCTAGCTATCTATCTATCTCACCATCTGTATATCTCTCTATTTGTCTATTTGTCTATCGATCTATCTGTCTATCTAGCTGACTATCTATCTTTCTGCCTATCAAGCTTTCTATGTATCTATCTATGTAGTATCTATCTATTTGACTGTCTACTACCTGACTATCTATCTGTCTGTCTGCCTGTCTATCTGTCTATCTGACTATCTATCTGTCTGTCTGTCTGTCTGTTTGTCTATCTATGTATCTGTCTGTCTGTCTATCTGTCTGTCTGTCTATCTACCTACCTACCTATCTATCTACCTGTCTATCTATCTGTCTGTCTATCTATCTGTCGATGTATCTACCTATCTTTCGATCGATCTATCTGTCTATCTATCTTTCTATCTGACAGGAAGCATTTATATGTGCGCGACTTCCTTCAAAAGCTGAATGAAGTTGGCAGTTGGCATGTCCAAAACGAAGCAATTCTGCGAGACTTCCTCATTTTTTCGAAATTTGAGAACATCAAAAACGAACAAATCTGCGATATTTCCTGCAAACATGAAAAGTTGAGTGCAGAGCTGACGGCCTCGTGCCAATGCGTTTTGTGTTTTTGCTTTCCATGTGTCTAAAGGATTGCACCTGCCACGAAAAAGAAGTGATGCCAAGTCGTACGAATTGCTGCATTTGTCAGGCGAAATCATCTTAGCAAACCTTAAGATCTGATGCTCCAAAATGCAAACCGTTTCAGGAAATCCGCGCCCTGACCTCCTGACATATCTGATCGAGATGTCTTTTGTACTTACTGCGCCTGCCAGGCGAAATTCAACGGTCCTCTTCAAACGGCCCACGCCTGGCATCATTTTTGCAATTGCTATAAAACCCGCACGTTTGCGTCACTTTTGGCAAGGCGCAGAGGTGCAGAATCCACTGCGCCTGCCACGCGAGACCACATCCAAACTTCGAAAAGTGGTCCGAGACCGTCAGTTTTTAACACTTTTGACTTCCAAATGTGCTTCAAGCCGCAGCGACATGCAATTGTTGATCTCTCATGCCGCCAGATGGCTCCGCACCCGCCGCTTTCGCGAGCCTACTTTTCTACCCTCCGGAGCCCAAAAACTTTGGAAGAACACAGTGTTGCGTGACTTTTCTATCTTTTCCTGCGTTTTAACATTCTTTTTCGATCTTCTTTCTTCTGCTGACTCTTTCTCTTCTCTGACTTCTTCTCTTCTGACTCTTTCTCTTCTCTGACTCTTCCCATCTCTGCTGCTTCATCTGTCCATACTGTCGGAAGTTTGACTTCTAAATGTCCTTCAGTTTTAAAGATACTACAATACATCCCATTACTATCCAAAATACCCCATTAATACAATCAGGGGGACGTTTGACCTTGGTCCAGCGTGCCAGATGAGACGCATCAAAGGGAAGCAGACCGTCGATGATGAAGGAACTGTGGGGACAGATTTGGGCCTTGGAATGTCAATGTTGCACATGATGTTTCTTTTGGTATAGTCTATATAACTACAATAACTGATAATATGCGATGTCATTACTGAGGTTTATAACTAAAGAACCATCAACAATATATTTTCGTGATGGTTTTGGAGGTGAAATTTCTGGAAATAGCGAGTTTCAATGGAGAATCCCTTTTAAATCCCCGTGGTTCTAGGTAGTGTAAGCCCCTCTTACTCTGGAGAGCGGATGTTGGTGAGGATGTGATTTTGGCCGAAAAAAACAAACCAAATATTGTGTGTTGACAGTGTTTCATTTTCATTGCATGTATAAACGAAAACATCGTTATGAGCACCCGTTCTGTTTCCTGAATCCTTTGGATTCTATAGTCCTACAAGCATCTATAAGTATTATGTATTTATGTTCGTTGTATTTCATGATTTATGATGTATTGAAAACATTTGATATACCAAAATTGGATAAAGGAATGTGTTTTGCAGGAATTGATTACATTCGACGGTACAGACAATGGCCCAGTCCATTGATATTGATAATCCTGAATAACTCATCCTAGTTAGCCTGGTTTGCTCAGTTCGTGATAAGTGATAAAATCGCCCTACTTATCGTTTACAGCCCCTTTTCTGCGGTATGTCCCCATGCTTGCTTAAACCTCAGTTACATCCTTTTAATATGGTTCATGTGATGTACATATGTACATATGTACATATATATAATATATATATATACATATACATATATACATATATATAAATATATGTCTATATATACATGTATGTACGTAACTATGTGTTTAAGTTTCCAATGTCATATCATAAGTTAATCCATATAATGTTTTACGGCATTTATAAGATATATGCCATGATCATTTGATTTATCTAAGTTTTATATACATCCATTAACGGTTATATATTTTAAGTTTCCATGAAAGCTCCCATGGTAATGCCATAGAATCATTGGTTCAACCAGAAAATTGACTACTTGCAGACCCCGGCTGCGGCAGGACCAGTTGGCTTGCAGGAGCTCGAAAGCAGCACTTTGCTTAATGGGGCACTGCATCACTAATGATTAAAGACTGGCACGCATATTACGCTTATAATCAGACATTATATATGATGTTTCATTGAAAAATCAACATGTTCGCTGCAACCCTGACGTTTCTCCACGCCGGAATTGAAGAAGGGTTGCGTATTTTGGAGATGCTATATCGGTGGACTTCCGACTTGTAGATGTATATTTGATCCATGTATAAATAAGGATTATATATATATGTAAATGTGTGGATATATGCATATGTAAATGCAAATGTATATGTATATGTAGATGTATACGTACATCTACTTATTTGTATTTGTATAGTAAATAGACAAATATATATATACATATATATATACATATATATATATATATTATTTATCGGTTGATGCTATTACCCCATTCAACATTACCCCGGCCAGCATATTTGTCAGAGGGGGTGGTGGATGTTTGATCCCTTTTGAAGATAAGTTGAGAGGGGGTGATGATGATGCGGAGGATGATGATGACGATGACGATGACGATGATGATGATGATGATGATGATAATGTTTGTGAGTGTGAGTGTGAGTGTGAGTGTGAGTGTGGAGCAACGTCCGGGTTGGACGGACAATGTTTCATGGGACAACCTATGGGACGGTTCACCTTGTTTGATGACAAGATTATGGAAAATCATCGTATTGGTGAACGAATCATGGAACATCGCATTGACAAGCGTCGTTGCAATGAAATTTCAGGGTGAAATTACAAAGAAATTTGAATTTAACAGGAACATCACGGGATTGTTCAGCATTTTATTGTGCAAATCGGCACATTGTCTACACACATGTGTTTTTTTTAACCGACAGCTTAGACTACAAGGGCTGAGAACAACTTGGGTTTCCGTGCCTTGCTCAGAATTAATATCGTGAGTCAGATCATGATGATCATCACCATCATCATCA